GTATCAGCTCTTGATTATCTGCGGGTTGTTGAACCAAGGTGCAGATTAACTACACCATCGACCAAAAGGGCACTGCCTGGCATCTGGCACTGCATCAAAGCTGTCTGTCCTCCCAGAACTGGCTGGGAATCACGGCGCAGAGATGCCCGGTGTGTTTACAGGAGCCAGCCCGGGGAACAGCAGGGCCAGTGCAGACCTAGCAAGTCCTGCTGAGCCTGCCAAGCTGTGCTACAGGCGCCCTGCGCCCCTGGCAGCGTCTGCCGTCCCCACACCTCTTGGGGCTTCTCGCTACCGGCGTCCTCGTCCCCCATCGCCCAGACCAATGGAAAGGTGGTTGTAACTGCTTACAAAAAGGGCCCAGGCCACCTGCCTCCCTGCTGCTTTGAACACAGGAGGTGATAAATATGCGGCACCATCCCTGGGGAAGTCAGCGAGGATGGATGGGGAGTTAAAATGCTACCAGGGAATGCAGGAAACCTGCCACAGGACGATCAAGGGCTTCCTGGGCAAGTCTCCTGGCCCAGGGTGCTGCTCTTGCCCTTCTCCTGCAGGGCTGCCTTGTTCACGCACCCGCAGTGCCCGCATCCCAGCCACAGGGCAATTAATGCAGTTATCACTTCCACCCATTTCCAATCACGCTTTATGGGTACTGGATCTGTGGATGTAAATTCCCTGAACAGCCCGTCTGGTCCCGATGGCTCAGCAGGACCTGCTCCCTGCCACCTCACCTACCCCAAACGCTGGCAAACGTGACCGGGGGGGTCTCAGGAAGGAGAGGCAGGACGGAGCCAAGGAAGAGTGGTGCTCGGCAGCCTTCAGCGCAGCAGGGCTGTGCAAGCACCCCCGCCCCCCTGCTCGCTCCCTCTCACCACGGGGAGACGGCACAGCAGGATGCGAGGGCTCCAGCCCAGCCAGCCTCAGCCCAGAGCATCCAGCGCTGTCACTGTGACCAAGCCCTGTTCTGTCCCGTGTTCCCGCGTCTTGCACTGCAGCAGGACCAGACGGCTGAAGCCCCGAGGGCAGCCTGCAGCCCCCCCAGGCCAGACCACAGGGGCTGCGCATAGGGGACTGCCGAGCAGCCCCATCTCCCCCACCATTCACGTGCTCCACGCTGCCTGGGGTTACCTGGGAGCTGTGACCCCCTCGGCCTGCTTGTCCCACACTCTTTATCCCCCAGAAGGAAATTTGCCTGCACAGCCCCGCAGGCAGCAGCCTGCACCCGCACCCAACAGACCCTGCTTGCCCCTGGCCGCCCTGCGCCCCAGCAGCGACCTGCAGCACGAGCCATCGGGTGAGCGCCCCGACACAAGGGCGAGCAGTGGGCTCCCTTCAGCCCTTTACAGAGATGCTCTGGAAAGCATCAGCCCCACCTGCCCTGGAGAGGAGAGCTGGCCTCACGGGGCACAGCCTCCCCAGAGCCCTCCAGATGGGTGGGAGCCCTGCCCAGCGCCCAAGGGGACACCGGGCTCCAGCTGCTTTGTGCACCCTGAGAAATCCGGGCAGCTCCGCCAAACTGCAGCCATGGGGCAAATTGCAAGGAGGCGTCCACCCGTCGGGGATGAGAAAGGACGCTGCTCCATGGCGGAGGGATTGCGAGAGGAACTGAGCTGGGCTGAGACCCAAAGGCTGGCCATCACCTTGTCATGTGGGTGGCTAAGGGACAATGATCTGCGGAAACCCCGGCAGGATCCAGACATCCCTGGTGCTGCTCCCACCACAACCATGGCTCACTGGGGGGGGTCCTAGCGTGGCCAGCTGCGACGGGGCTGTGGAGGGTGACCTGCACCCCATAGGTCGCCAGCAGCGGGAGCGGGGGGCTCCTGCAGCCCGGGGCAGCGCAGGGCAGACATGTCCCCTCAGGGCCCTGATCCTTGCCCCCGCAGGGCCCTGATCCTACCGTGGGCTCCGGCGGCGTGGTGGGGGCCGGAGGCCCCGGCGTGTCGAGGTGCCCAGTGCACGGCATTTCCTGCACGGCGGCGGGAGGGAGGGAGGGACGGCCGCGCTCGCTCACCTGCGCCAGGTGCAGCTCCGCCCCAGCCGGCCCCGGCCCGGGGTGCGGGATCTGCTGCAATGGGGTCCCCATGACCCCCCCCAGAGCCCACAGCCTGCACAGCCCCCCACAAACGGTTCATCCCACTTGCTTTTGCTGCCAGGAGGGACCAGAAGCATCACTGCCTGCTCAGTATGGGTTCTGGGGACGGGGCTGCGGTCCGCAGGGTGAGACAGGACCCGTTGCTCACCCAGAGCTCGGTGCAGGGTGCGCACTGGGGTGACCCCTCTCAGCAGCAAGCCTCTGCTGGGACGTGGTTTCGTGCTGGGCTCCCCATACACTCGTGGCTGAGCCATGCTGCAGGAGCAGCCCGGTGCCTTCCCCAGCCGTGGCCCCGCACAGGAGGGGCACCGAGGCACCGGGGCGGCGGCACTGCCAAGGCAGCCGATCCCGACCCCGCTGCAGAGCAGTGTGAGGAGGCAGACAACAGTGCCAGGCTCCCACCCAGTGCTGCAGGCCAGCGGGCATGAAGGCATGAGGAAGAGGGGGGAGTGGTACGAAGGGACACGGAGGGCTCCGCTGTCCCCTCCAAGCTGAACAACGTCCAGGTGGAAGGACGGAGCAGTTTCAGGAATGGCTCCATCTCCCTTTACAGGTTATCTTTGATGGCCGCAGCCCCCAAAACACCTGTTATTGTCACCCTATTTTCCCAGTTAGTGTCTGTGTTCTCCTGGCCCGTTCGCTGGGAAAACCAGGCAGCCAAGTAAGGAGCAGAAATAGTGGTGTGGGTTTTCTGGGAGACAGACTGCTGCCACCTTCGCACAGGCTCAGTGTCAGCAGTAGTAGCAGCTGCTGAGAGAGCTCAACTTAAAACTGTGATCTATCCATGAAAGAGTCAGTATTTCTCCTGCAGTTCCCCGGTTCACTGAGTCATCTTCTGCTCTTGTTAGCATTTCCACCTCCTTTCCTCTGCATCTTCCAGGGGACGCTGTGTTAGATCCCTGATCCTCTGCTGCACATCAGCTTCTCTCTGTCTCTCAGTATTACGTGCATTTTTTTTCATGGCTGATGCACTGGCCCTGCCTCTGTCTGGCCATTGCCATCACATTGCATCCAGAGCCAGCTGCTTCTATCCTCTGAACGAAGCAGGTTCCTCAGAAGAAGGAAATACCCCTTGAACCAGGACTACCCCCCACCACCGCGGCAGGGAGAGTGGAGAAAGGGACAGATTTCAAACACAGATTCAGCAGAATCAACTCTTTCCAACCGAGAACGCTTTTGCAGGATGGGAATGGGCCGTGAATTGTCCAGTGACCCACTAAGCTGGTGACCCCCTCTGAAAGGCTGTATAAAGTCTTTGTGGGGCGACTGCAATCGAATCTAAGTCAGGAGCAAAAAGGAAGCTTATCATGGGAGGAAACCAAAGGAAGAAAGAGTCATTCTGCTTGGTGACTGTGGTCGCCTTCATCTCACGCCATCTGCTAGAGTGCTGCTGTACTCCTGGGGCAGTGCGAAGTCCTAGACCTTGCAAGAGAGACAATCAAAACCAAGCAGTCTCTTCAAACGAACAGCATTTCTACAGAAGTTTCTGGGTCAAGGAATTAACTGTAATTCCACCCGAAAGAGGGAAATGGAAGAGGTGTTTTTAACTTGGGTAATTTTGATGGTCTTTTTAATGGTAGAGCTTTGCACACAGTTGGCCCAGGGCAACTGAAGAACCAGTAATCAGAGTTGGGGAATTAGCATAGTGTGCTATGACGCACAAAACAACCAGGAGGCGGAGGATTAGACTCTTCCATCTCTATTTTCTCCTCAAAGATTGAATCCCGTAAGAAACCCCCAAGATACTCACAACTTCCACTGTAGCCTAGGGGCCCTCAGAGCCAGAGTCACAGAGCAGCCTAGGCCCTTGTCCCTGGCAGGATTAAGATACCCCTGTGCAGCTCAGTCTGTGACTCAAGGCCTCCACCTCACTCTGATGGTTTCCCCTGCTTTGGCCAGAAATGTTCCTCAAGCCTGACAGCTCTCCACTTGCACCAGGACTGCTGCCAGCTGGGCAGCCTGGCACCGCAGCACTGTCAAGATCTTCAGGATGAGTCTTCTCAGGGCCCAGTCCAGTAGGTGACCTACAAGCACACAGCACAAGCCAGCAGGACTGGGAAAAGCAGGAGATCTTTATCAGGAGAAATGGAGAGAGCTTCCTTCCTGAGGACACTTGCAGCCTGCGAGGGACAGTGCTCCCTGGGCGATGAGGACCACAAGTGTGAATCTCCTCCTCCAAAGGGAGGACATGAACTCAAGACTTGCCCAGCTTTACCAGCTACATAGTCAGATACATAATCATCAGCATCATCAATGGCTGCTTTGGAAGAGAGGCCTGAACTCTGTTCCTTGCTGAAAGGGAGGTTGGACCTTTTTGGTCCAGAATAGGGGTCGGCATTAGGACATCACATCGCGTGTCAGCTCTGGAGTGAGATAAGATGCAAATCTCTGCAGCTGTCTGCTGGTCCAGCATCCTGGGTTCCCTGCAGAGCATGCCAGGGTGGTGGACTCACACGCAGGCTCCCAGCTCCCTTCATACTAGGTAAGACAGGAGCGTGTGGGCAAGAGGTGGGAGCCATGCTTTCCTTGGTATGCCTGTCCCCTTGATCCATGCCAGGATCAGAGCCTTTGTTTTGTGGCTTCACATGGCGTGAATATAAGGTACTGAAGCAATCTTGGTTTGGTTTTGAGTGCCGTCACAGCTCAGCGCTTTCTTCCTAGCTGGGAAAAGCTCAACGCCCTTGTGCAGCCGAGGTGCTGGCTGCACGCGCCTGTGGCTCTGATAGTTTGAATGAAGCAGCCTGTTCAGACAAAGGAGATTTCACTATGGAAATCAGAAAAGGACTAACAACAGGAACCTGTTTGCACGGATGCTCCACCTCACAGCTGTTTCAGAGCTGGGTGGAGGTAAAGTATTGTGCAGCCTCAGGAAGTTTGTTTCTCGTTGCTACATTTCCTTCCAAAACTCACCTCTCTAAAGAGCTGGGTTTATCTTGGTCATTCTGATCTCGCCACAGCCATGCTGGAGGGGAGGAGGCTGGTTTTCCCCTGCAGCAGTTTAACCCACGACATATAGTCACATCCTCATAAAATGAAACAACTGCTCCACCTACTACTGTTTTTCAAAAAAGAGTGAACAAAATACAAAGTAGAAGAACTTGAGGGCAAAGATCCGTGAGCACAGGTCAGGCTTCAAACGGATCAAAATGCCATGCTTCTTCCTTCTGTAGGCCCTTTTCCCATAAAATAGAGAAACAACCCCAAATTTATTCCCATTTCCTGATCAGTTCCAAAAATCTCATGTGTCACATCTTTGAGACGAGAGCTCTTTGGGCTGCCAGCCTCTGTGCAGTGCTCTTGCTTGGCTCGTTCAAGCTGAGCGGGATTGGGCTGGCCTGCTGGTGCACTGGGCACCTTCAAAGCAAATCTTGGTGCTGAGGAATCGGTAATCGCCATTTTTGCTCTGAGTCTGAATGGAATCAACACCCTCATGTAGGAAGTGACAGTGGTCCGTTCGGAAGAAATAAATAACTGAATTTCCAGCCACTTCGTGCCACCAAAACTCCTGGGATCTCTTTCTGAGACGCACAGATTAGCCTCAGCTGAAGGGTAACTTGCACGTTGGACGATTATACTCTCAAAGTGCAAAACCCGAAGTTTCCATTGTGGTGCTGTATTCGCCTCAGCTTCCTGTTTCCCACTTGCAGAGATGAGGCCACATGGTGTTAAGCTGCTCAGCATCGTCCCCTGCGGGCGGGTGTGCTTCTCGGGGCGGGGGAAGAGGCACTTCACAGGCTCTGTGCAGAAAAGGAAGATGCTGTAAATGATAAACGCAAGATATTATCACACCATTTCAGACTCACAGGTGCCACAGCTGCTGGTCGGCTGCTGGTTTCCAAGGCATTCAGAGCAGGTTAGCAGAGTAACTACCCACATTTTGGGTTGGATTATGCACATAAACCTCAGCAGTGCTTTGGGTGCCGCTGCCCGTGAGCCCTGCCTGGACTCCCAGACGTTTTCCCCTGCCTCTGCGAGGAACAAGCACTGCAGGAGACGGTGGTTGCCCACGGGGGCAGGGAGGGGGCTCACCCTCCTGAAGCGCCAGGGGAAGGTGCGTCCTCATTAACGTTGTCAGTCCTGATGTTTGAAGGGCGGTCATGGGCTTTTTTGAGATCCCAAAACGTCTCTGTGGTGGGATGCGCGCCCTTCATGTCACCCTCAGCTGGGGCACCTGCTGCCTTGGCCGAGGATGGCAGCTCGGTGTCCCCCGGTCCTGGCCTTCAGAGCCCTCCAGGGGCTGTGTGTCCCCTGGGGGCCTTTCTCTTGACGGGGTGCCAGCTCCCCTCCTGTCCCCCGCCCCAGCCCCCTCGCGGGAGGGCCTGGGCTGGGCGCCATGCCGGTGCACAGGCCACCGTGCCCGTTCAGGCCTCTGCCCCAGGGGAGTGGCATTCTGCGTGGGGCGTGGGCAGAAAGGGAGCTGTGGGACCGCCTCTCGTTTGTCGGGTGGCATTAAATATTATGTCTGGGCCTTGCTTTAGTATAATTATAATTAGCATTGTTATTGTTCTACCGCTTATCGCGGGACGAGGGCGTTTTGTCCCTTCGCGGGCGCCGTACGTCGCGCCCTCGCGCCGGCGTGAACCGCCCTTTCCTGTCCCACCGTCTCCTTCCATGGGGAGGCGGGCTGCCGGCCGCCATCTTGGAA